AGTTGACAGCTCAAGCAATTATACTGGAATGTGTTAATAATAAAAAGGAAAATGACTTCACGTTTGTCTTCTTGGAGACAAAAGCAGATGTTTGCCGCATGCCGAGGAGCAGCGGGGAGCGGCGGCGTGGCGGCCCCCCAGGCGGGGGACGCTGCTGCAGCACCTGGCCATCGCCTCTCGCGGGTGGCAGTTGTGTGACAACGTGGCCTTCCCTGCGGTTCCCCGAGCCCTGGGAGCTGCTGTGAACTTTTTTTTCTCTTGTTGAGAACATGAAAATAACAGTTAACAAAGGCTCCTTTTTTGAGTGGGATTGCAGGAAACCTGCAACATCGTGAACAAGCTGCCTACACAGAGATAAATGACAGCTGTGACTGAAGGAATAAACAAGATAATCTGGATTTAAATAAACCACAGGGGGATTTTGGCAACATGCAAATTCACAAATTTATAAAATGTATCCTTTGAAAATAAAGAGCTTGTCTGAAGCCAGCAGTTAGGAACAATTACCGCAGCGCATTTTCCCAACGAGGGCTTAGAGCTGGTCTCTGCCACGAGCCGGAGGCGACCGGGAGCAGATGTCCGGCCCGTTGGGGCGTGGGTTTGTGCACAGAGCAGAAAACTTGGAGAGGCGACGGCAGCGAGTCCCTGTCCAATGTATCCTTTGAAAATAAAGAGCTTGTCTGAAGCCAGCAGTTAGGAACAATTACCGCAGCGCATTTTCCCAACGAGGGCTTAGAGCTGGTCTCTGCCACGAGCCGGAGGCGACCGGGAGCAGATGTCCGGCCCGTTGGGGCGTGGGTTTGTGCACAGAGCAGAAAACTTGGAGAGGCGACGGCAGCGAGTCCCTGTCCAAGCTGCAGGTGGGGGAGCGGTGGGGGTGCCAGGGGGCGCTTGCAGAGCTGCCTGGCCTTCCTCAGCCAGGTCCCTGTGCTGGGGAATGGGTAGGAAAGGAGAGCAATGCCAACAGCCCAGCAAACACCCGATGACACGTGTTTGATTGTCAGCTGTGGGGACCAGGTATTCCTGGATCCAAGCCCAGGAGTGGCAATAGTAGTGGCACAGCTCAGGGATGCTGCTCAAACAGACCATGTCCATCCCCGTAGCAGAGTGAAGGAGTTGTCAGTGTCGTGCAGAGCTCCTTCCAGGGGAAGGGGCATCTTGTCATTCCACCTTTTTCCCATGGGTAGCGATGGAGGCAGGGGAGGGCAGGAGGTCAGCAGAGCCAGGAGTAGACGTGTCCTTTTTCCAGTGCTTCATCCCCAGGACAGCTCCACAGAGGTGGTCAGTGATGCCTCTTCCTCAGCCAGCCTGGCTCCGAGAGGGAATGGAAGGCTGCAGGAAAAGCCAAAGCATGTCCACAAGACTGTCCAGACCCCCCAGGAGCAAAACCCTGGCCTGGTATGGCAAGGGGCTCTGCAGCAGCTGTGGGAGGGGAGTGATCCGGAGCGCGGCATCCTGCCTCAGGCACTGGTTAGTGTCCTGTTGGCGTGTGTGTGACGAGGGCAGAGCACGTGGCGGCAGCTCTGTGAAGGTTACCAGCTCCGAGGAGAGTTCCTGCCATGCCAGAGGCCCGGCTCCTCCAGGTAGAACCTTGTTGCTCTCAGCAGCAGGAGCTGGTGGTGCCGTGTGTCGAGCTCTGCGTGCGGCAGGATGCTGCAGGACACGCCGGCTCTGGGGGCTGAAGGGCTCCAGGCGCCTGCTCGGCTGCCTTTGCGGTGTGGGAGCGCAGCATGGCAGTCTGTGCCTGCCCGGGAAAGGCAGCACCCGGAGAGCAGCTCGGAGAAAGCGGGGTTTGGGCAAAAGCCTGTCTGTGCGCACATCCCAGAGCTGCAGCCGTCCTGTGCTCTGCAGGGACCGGGGTGGCTCTGGGACACGCTGCAGCTCCCAGCGTTATCCTTAAAACTGTGCAGCCAGGGCTGAATCTGCTTTTCCTCCTCTTTTCCTTGATCACTGCTTCCCTGCTGTCTCCCCTCAGCACCAGCCTGTCTATCCATTTGTCTTTATCGTGCGTGGAATTAAACGCGGTCCTTAAACGTGGCAACACTTTGGGATTATTAGCTCTGCAATTCCTTGGCTCCCGTTTATTGTGATAACATCATCTGAAGGGGCCGTTGTAATTAATCGTTTGTTCGTGCTGCTTTTCTAAACCCCTGGTGTGTTTGTTTTATACTGGAGCGTCAGCCGCTACAGCTTGCTTCCAGGGTATTGTCTGGAGCGTTCCCACCGCAGAGAAAAGGCTTAGAGGTTTGGGGTTGTTTTTTGCAGCAGCTTATTGAAACCATAATTTAAAGTAAAGGCTGAGTAAGTATAAGATGACCCGAGAGCAGAGGGACCAAAATCCTTGTTTACAAGACATCCGCGCAGGGGCTGTTGCCACGGCAGGAGAGGGCACCCCGCTCCTGCTGTCACCCTGCCCTGCCCGCGGCGGGATGGGCAGGAGTGGCAGCATGAGTGAAGGGGAGCAGCAGGACTTCCGCTGAATTCTGGGTGATTTTCATCCCTCTGAAAGCATTGTCATCTAAAACCCCACAAATCACAGACACAATCCAGAACGCAAAGCTTGCGCAAGCCGTGGGTCCCTGGGAACGTGCCTGAGTGTCCCGGTGGCTGGAGGCGGCTCGTGGTGCCGGGGAGAGGCTGGTCAGGGGGAGCAGAGCACAGACAGGGTCAGCGATACCCTCCGGCATGATCGCAGAGCCGAGTGGCGGCGCGAGGGGCAGGGGCCCAGCCGGCCCCCGTTCCCTCTGAGCTTCTGGGAGTCACAGGCGCTGATTTGCAGCACAGCATCGTGGCGGCTGGGAGGTTCCAGATACAAATGTGTCTTATGAAAACCCCAAGAAGTGAGTGGATGTGGCTAGACCAATTCACACCGCAGCCGGGGTGCAAAGTAGCAGTGAGTGGTGTTAACGAACCCCCGAGCTCCCGATAGCCCGCGGCCCTGCTCCGGGAGCCCTTTGCTGCAGAGCTGATGTGCTGGCAGCAGTGTGCTCTGGGCAGGCCAGGGCTGGGCGATGCACAGGGTCAGAGAGGACGACGGCAACAGTCCCCTCGAGCCCTGTTGTCCATGAGTCCTTCGCTCATAGTCCAGCAGAGCTTTTAGCATCCCATAATCGGCACATTTTGACATCTGACAGCCTGCTGCGTGCTGCCAGGCCGTCTGACTCGGAGGAGCACACACCAGCCAGTTCTGCCTGCGCTGGTCCCTTCTGCTCCAATGCGTAGGAAAACGGCTTATCCGGAGACGGCACGCACGTGCGGTGCTGTCGGGGTGGTTGAACTGCCCGGGGTAACGGTGTGTTGTGCTTCCCTGGCCATCCGTCACTTTTTGCAAGGTAGAAGGACTTTTACACACTGCTGCTTCTGCCACCCAGGATGCCTCTGTCTCGGCTGATACCCTCCTCACTCCAAAATCGGAGCTGCCTCTTCCCACTCCCCATAGTGCCACGTGCCGTGGATTCACTGCACCCCGCCTTGGTCCTGTTCAACCCTCTGGTCCCAAGGCACTGATCCAAGCTCCCTGCAGGAGCAGGGATGGCTGCCCCAGGTCAGCATCCCCAGAGATCACCCCGCTGTCAGCTCAGGATCAAACCTGCCCTGGCCTGGGATGCTTTGGGACAACCTGCCGTGAAAGGAGACCTTTTGTATTCCCATGGGGAGGTGGCAAAGGGACCACCCACCTCCAGCAGTGCCTTGGGAAAACAAACCCAGCTGGATGGTGGAGCAG